TTGGTGTGGTCTAGGACTGTTGTTGTTGTCTTGGTGTGGTCTGGGACTGTTATTGTTGTTGCCTTGGTGTGGTCTGGGACTGTTGTTGTTGTTGCCTTGGTGTGGTCTAGGACTGTTGTTGTTGTCTTGGTGTTGTTTGGGACTGTTGATGTCTTGGTGTGGTCTGACACTGTTGTTGTTGTCTTGGTGTTGTCTTGGACTGTTGTTGTCTTAGTGTGGTCTAGGACTGTTGTTGTTGTTGTCTTGGTGTGGTCTGGGATTGTTGTTGTTGTTGTCTTGGTGTGGTCTGGGATTGTTGTTGTCTTGGTGTTGTCTGGGACTGTTGTTGTTGTCTTGGTGAGGTCTGGGACTGTTGTTGTTGTTGTCTTGGTGTGGTCTCGGACTGTTGTTGTTGTCTTGGTGTTGTTTGGGACTGTTGATGTCTTGGTGTGGTTTGACACTGTTGTTGTTGTCTTGGTGTTGTCTTGGACTGTTGTTGTCTTAGTGTGGTCTAGGACTGTTGTTGTTGTTGTCTTGGTGTGGTCTGGGATTGTTGTTGTTGTTGTTGTTGTCTTGGTGTGGTCTGGGATTGTTGTTGTCTTGGTGTTGTCTGAGACTGTTGTTGTTGTCTTGGTGAGGTCTGGGACTGTTGTTGTTGTTGTCTTGGTGTGGTCTAGGACTGTTGTTGTTGTTGTCTTGGTGTGGTCTGGGACTGTTGTTGTTGTTGTCTTGGTGTGGTCTGGGATTGTTGTTGTTGTTGTTGTCTTGGTGTGGTCTGGGATTGTTGTTGTCTTGGTGTTGTCTGGGACTGTTGTTGTTGTCTTGGTGAGGTCTGGGACTGTTGTTGTTGTCTTGGTGTGGTCTAGGACTGTTGTTGTCTTGGTTTGGTCTGGGACTGTTGTTGTTGTTGCCTTGGTGTGGTCTAGGACTGTTGTTGTTGTCTTGGTGTGGTCTGGGACTGTTATTGTTGTTGCCTTGGTGTGGTCTGGGACTGTTGTTGTTGTTGCCTTGGTGTGGTCTAGGACTGTTGTTGTTGTCTTGGTGTTGTTTGGGACTGTTGATGTCTTGGTGTGGTCTGACACTGTTGTTGTTGTCTTGGTGTTGTCTTGGACTGTTGTTGTCTTAGTGTGGTCTAGGACTGTTGTTGTTGTTGTCTTGGTGTGGTCTGGGATTGTTGTTGTTGTTGTCTTGGTGTGGTCTGGGATTGTTGTTGTCTTGGTGTTGTCTGGGACTGTTGTTGTTGTCTTGGTGAGGTCTGGGACTGTTGTTGTTGTTGTCTTGGTGTGGTCTGGGATTGTTGTTGTTGTCTTGGTGTTGTCTGGGATTGTTGTTGTCTTGGTGTTGTCTGGGACTGTTGTTGTTGTCTTGGTGAGGTCTGGGACTGTTGTTGTTGTTGTCTTGGTGTGGTCTGGGACTGTTGTTGTTGTTGTTGTCTTGGTGTGGTCTGGGATTGTTGTTGTTGTTGTTGTTGTCTTGGTGTGGTCTGGGACTGTTGTTGTTGTTGTTGTCTTGGTGTGGTCTGGGACTGCTGTTGTTATTGTTGTTGTCTTGGTGTGGTCTGGGACTGTTGTTGTTATTGTCTTGGTGTGGTCTGGGACTGTTGTTGTTGTCTTGGTGTGGTCTGGGACTGTTGTTGTTGTCTTGGTGTGGTCTGGGACTGTTGTTGTTATTGTTGTTGTCTTGGTGTGGTCTGGGACTGTTGTTGTTGTTGTGGTCTGGGACTGTTGTTGTTGTCTTGGTGTGGTCTCGGACTGTTGTTGTTGTCTTGGTGTTGTTTGGGACTGTTGATGTCTTGGTGTGGTCTGACACTGTTGTTGTTGTCTTGGTGTTGTCTTGGACTGTTGTTGTCTTAGTGTGGTCTAGGACTGTTGTTGTTGTTGTCTTGGTGTGGTCTGGGATTGTTGTTGTTGTTGTTGTCTTGGTGTGGTCTGGGATTGTTGTTGTCTTGGTGTTGTCTGGGACTGTTGTTGTTGTCTTGGTGAGGTCTGGGACTGTTGTTGTTGTTGTCTTGGTGTGGTCTAGGACTGTTGTTGTTGTTGTCTTGGTGTGGTCTGGGACTGTTGTTGTTGTTGCCTTGGTGTGGTCTAGGACTGTTGTTGTTGTCTTGGTGTGGTCTGGGACTGTTATTGTTGTTGCCTTGGTGTGGTCTTGGACTGTTGTTGTTGTTGCCTTGGCATGGTCTAGGACTGTTGTTGTTGTTGTCTTGTTGTGGTCTGGGACTGTTGTTGTTGTTGTTGTCTTGTTGTGGTCTGGGACTGTTGTTGTTGTTGTTGCCTTGGTGTGGTCTGGGACTGTTGTTGTTGTCTTGGTGTGGTCTGGGACTGTTGTTGTGTTGCCTTGCCCCAAGCTTGAAATTAGAGTTGATGAAACGCCACGAATTTATGCACATGAAACTCCCGTTTCTTCACGCGAATTTTCCCCAGATGTCTATGTCAAATAACGACTTATTTAGGGCTATGTTTTTTAAGTTTTCTGCCACGGCAAAGTTTTCGAAGATTAAAACTCACCAATTGAATGATCGGATAAATCGCTCACATTGACGTACTGTACTACCGAGGACGATTTAATATATTATCACTGTGCGTGCTCAGTGATTATATCTATTTCCTGGCACCCGCCTAGCAGAAGATTCAGCCCACTAAGTGGATGATAGCAGAGCCACAGCTAATCAACATCAATCAAACTCAGCCCCACTAAGTGGATGATAGCAGAGCCACAACCAATCAACATCAACCAAACTCAGCCCCACTAAGTGGATGATAGCAGAGCCACAGCCAATCAGCATCAACCAAACTAAGCCCCACTAAGTGGATGATAGCAGAGCCACAACCAATCAACATCAATCAAACTCAGCCACACTAATTGGATGATAGCAGAGCCACAACCAATCAACATCAACCAAACTCAGCCCCACTAATTGGATGATAGCAGAGCCACAGCCAATCAACATCAACCAAACTCAGCCCCCCTGTGTATAAAGATATTGCAACTTCTGTATTGCAGATGCGATCACGCGGATTTCACATTAACCGGAGCAACACATTTGTTCGGGATGAAGCAGTTTGTGACCTGTAAATAAAAATGTTCAAGATATAGAAGTGTTAACTTATTCGATTAAACATTTGGGCTGAACGTAAAAATCCACGAGTTAATAATTTACGTCAAAATCGCGCGTAATCCTGAACGCCGATAACCGAGAGTCTCCTGTGCTCATGTAATTTGTACTTGAATACTACTTTGTGTGTGTATTGTGTGTGTGGGTTGTGTGTGAGTGTAGTGTGAGTATTGTGAATGTTGTAACTTGCTGAGCCCCGTGCCACACTGCTGGACATCTGTGACAAAGCGTGTGTGTGTTGTGTGTGTGTAGTGTGTGTAGTGTGTGTGTGTAGTGTGTGTAGTGTGTGTATTGTGTGTGTTGTGTGTGAGTGTTGTGTGTAGTGTGTGTGTGTAGTGTGTGTGAGTGTAGTGTGAGTATTGTGAGTGTTGTTGTAACTTGCTGAACCCCATGCCACACTGCTGGACTTCTGTGACAAAGCGCTTCAAGCTCATCGCATTCCTCCCTACCTCGATAGGGAAATCGCTTTTTGCTGCACTTGCCTATAAGCTCCACCACCTGCTTGTTCCCCAAACTGCACAGTAACAAAGTGATTGATGTACGTGGTTGATCTAAAGGCCACGGTCGTACCTTTGCCACTCGCTTAAGATGGGCCCTATCTGTAAAATAAAAACAAGTTTTCGTTTAGTCTATCGGCCTCTATATGCCTCTACAGGTATCTCTCTGTGGGCCTAAATGTATATCTTTGAGTTTCTATGTATCTCTATGGGTCTCTATGTATCACTGTCGGTATGATATGTTAACTACCTCGCCCAGTATACAGGAGGTCGTGGGTTCGATCCCGGCCCTGTCACCTGCTGTATATTTTGAGTCTGTGTCTCTCTCTCCCTGTGGTCGTGTGAAAATGTTTCTAGGTCCTCCTGTTTCCCCCTCCACCTTTAGAGTTAACGTCACAAGGCGTTTAAAGTATTTGGCTGATGCTGTTAATTTAAACGTGGTGATGATGATCATGACGATATCAGCCACTTGGTTGAGCTGCTATCATTGGGTGCAGTCGCCAGGGGTCGCTTCTGAACAAACTTTGCAGCTCAGTGGTGGGACCTTACATCTGGTTAAACAAATCAATATTCAGTTTACACCATTGGAAACCTCATTTGGCAGTAACACAATATGATAATTGGTTTTTAACCCTTTTATCTGGCCTTTTGGCGTCTTCTGGTCCAACACCATGTGAGACGAGGCTCTAATTAAAGCTGTCTCGAGTGTGGACCAATCAATTTCAAGGACAGTGCATACATTATCAGAGTTGTTGTTTTCTGTTTGCGTTGCGACCGCAGGTATTGTGGTCAATGTAAACATGACTCCTTGCAAAGAAGGTGTCAGTTTTGTTGCCAGATAAAAGGGTAAAAAAACAATTATCATATTTTGTTACTGGAAAATGAGGTTTCCAATGGTGTAAATGCTTGCCCCGAGCTCTCATACTCTGATGGTGCATTGTCTTTGAGTTGTGCGCCTTTTGGCGTCTTCTGGTCCAACACCATGTGAGACGAGGCTCTAAAGAAAGCTGTCTCGGGTGTGGACCAATCAATTTCAAAGACAGTGCATACATTATCAGAGTTGTTGTTTTTTGTTTTCGTTCCGACCACAGGTATTGTGGTCAATGTAAACATGACTCCTTGTACAAAAAAGGTGTCAGTTTTGTTGCCAGATAAAAGGGTAAAAACACAATTATCATTTTCAGTTTAGTTTATGAGTCTCTAAGTATCTCTATGTGTATCTATGAATCTCTCCACAGATTCACCACTTCCTCATTTACCGTTGTGAATTATTGTCCTCATCTTTTATCTTTGGAATTTGAAATGGACGCAGTTTTAGTTTAAATAGCATATTAAATTAAGTATTTTGAGAACGTATTGACGGACGCGTGCTCAGTGTTTTTTTTCTCAACGTTTCCTGTTGTCTGCAGATACTTCTCTCTGAAAGTGCGACGATCAGCAACGGGCTACAAGAGGTAAGGCACAAACAAAAATGTGTGGCCACCAGGAATATTGTAGGGCTCATCAATTGCACCCCAGCATCTCGAAGCCATGGGTTGGTTGACTGAGATGACCGGTAGATGCACCACCAGCTGAGCCAACTCGCAGCAATTAACCGCCCGGCGCTCCATTCGTTGTTGTGAGCGTCGCTCCTATGCCCTGTTATAGCGCACACTTAAACACACGCACACACACATATACTGCCTTAAAAAGCAAAGATTCCCCTATTTGAGGCTGAGTCGACCTAGGGGTGGCCCAGGACCAGTCAGATAATCGCTGACTATGGTCTTGGCTGTGTGCCGGAATCGAACTTTGGTTGCCAGATTGGTAACACGCGGCACACAAAGGCAAAGAACCCCGTGTAGCATTAACAAACCGCAGGGGCTGTTTAGCGAGTAGCAGCACACAAAGGCAGGGGTTGGGGGTGGCCAGCACCACGCATCCCCGGCGGCCTTTGGGCCGACCTTGGGGAACCCCTCAGCCCCCGGGATGCAGATCCTCATCCTGTAACTCGATGGCAGAACAAATAAGGTGAAGTTGAGAGTGTGGATTGTGGCTCGGAGGTCTGCGGATTGTCACCACCCAAAGCGGCCACTGTTGGCGGATGAATTGACAGTGGGTGAGGACGCTGAGCATTGGGGCTTCCTGGTGGTGACTAGGGAGATCGTCGGTTCGATCCTGACCCTGATGACTCCTGCTGCTGCATATTTGGAATCTTAGTCTTTCTCTCATCATAATCAAGGTGGCTAGGAGATGTTAACTACCTCGCCGGGTATGGACGATGTTGTGGGTTCGATCCCAGACCCTGACGCCTGCTGCTCTATATTTTGAATCCGCGTCTCTCTCCCCGTGGTCGCATCGATTTTTGTACAGGGTCCTCCAGTTTATCCCTCCCATATTTAGAATCAACATCACCACGCGTTCAGGGTATTTGTTTGCTGCTATAAATTCCGAAGTGATGATGAAATCAGCCACTTCGTAGAGCTGCGATAATTTGTGATGGCCAGAGTCGCTTCTTAAAAAGAGCTTCACAGTTCAGTGGGGCCTTACACCGGGTACTTAAAATAGTTTAATTTATGGGTCTCTATGGATCTCTGTGCGTGTCTGTAGACCTCTATCTGTCTCTCTGGGTATCTATGTGTCTCTGTGGGTCTCTGAGTATCTCTATAGGTGTCTACGTTTATCTGGGTTTATATGTATATCTGTGGGTCTATATGTGTCTCTGTGGGTCTCTTTATACCTTTATGGGTCTCTATGCACACCTACGTGTCTGTACGCATCTCTATGCATTTATAGTATTGGGCTGCTGCTATAAATGTCCATACAGTGTTGATGACATCAGCCACTTGGTTGAGCTGCTATCATCATTTGTGATGGCCAGGGTCACTTCTGAACAAAAGAGCCACTACACAGCAGCTCAGTGGGGCTTCGTTACACCTGGTAACATAAATTACTTTGGTTGTTAAATTTTCCTCGTCTTGAATGTTTTTTTTCCCACGCAGGTTATCAAAGGCGGATGTGACGAAACAACGCACTACTTGTCAACACGTGGCATCTGTTGTGAGCTCTGCAAAGCAGGTAATGCGCACAGACTGAAAGGCCTGACTCAAATACCACCATCAAAAGGTTTTAATGTAGGTTATGAACTTATTTCGCACCACACGTAGCCAACAGTGACTGGTGCAGTGTTGGAGCCAGTCTACTGACTCTACAGTAGTATCTACTGACGCTACAGTAGTATCTATTGACTCTACAGTAGTATCTACTGACTCTACAGTAGCATCTACTGACTCTACAGTAGCATCTACTGTCTCTACAGTAGCATCTACTGACTCTACAGTAGTATCTACTGACTCTACAGTCATATCTACTGACGCTGCAGTAGTATCTACTGACTCTACAATAGTATCTACCGACTCTACAGTAGTATCTACCGACTCTACAGTAGTATCCACTGACTCTACAGTAGTATCTACCGATTCTACAGTAGTATCTACCGACTCTACAGTCGTGTCTACTGACACTACAGTAGTATCTACTGACTCTACAGTAGTATATACTGACTCTACAGTAGTATCTACTGACTCTACAGTAGTATTTACTGACGATACAGTAGTATATACTGACTCTACAGTAGTATATACTGACTCTACAGTAGTATCAACTGAATCTACAGTAGTATATACTGAATCTACAGTAGGATATGCTGACTCTACAGTAGCATCTACCGACTCTACAGTCGTGTCTACTGACTCTACAGTAGTATTCACTGACTCTACAGTAGTATCTATAGATTCTACAGTAGTATCTACCGACTCTACAGTCGTGTCTACTGACACTACAGTAGTATCTACTGACTCTACAGTAGTATCTGCTGACTCTACAGTAGTATCTACTGACTCTACAGTAGTATCTACTGACTCTACAGTACCATCTACTGACTCTATAGTAGTATCTACTGACATTACAGTAGTATTTACTGACTCTACAGTAATATCTACTGACTCTACAGTAGTATTTACTGAATCTACAGTAGTATATACTGAATCTACAGTAGTATAGACTGACACTACAGTAGTATCTACTGACACTACAGTAGTATCTACTGACTCTACATTAGCATCTATTGAGTCTACAGTAGTATCTACTGACTACAGTAGAATCTACTGAATTTACAGTAGTATATACTGACTCTATAGAAGTATCTACTGACGCTGCAGTAGTATCTACTGACTCTACAGTAGTATCTACTGACTCTACATTAGCATCTACTGACTCTACAGTAGCATCTACTGACTCTACAGTAGAATCCACTGAATCTACAGTAGTATATACTGACTCTATAGTAGTACCTACTGACGCTACAGTAGTATAAACTGACTCTACAGTAGTATCTACTGACTCTACAGTAGTATCTACTGAATCTACAGTAGTATATACTGAATCTACAGTAGCATCTACTGACTCTATAGTAGTATCTGCTGACTCTACAGTAGTATCTACTGACTCTACAGTAGTATCTACTGACTCTACAGTAGTATCTACTGACGCTACAGTAGTATCTACTGACTCTACAGTAGTATATACTGACTCTACAGTAGCATCTACTGACTCTACAGTAGTATCTACTGACTCTACAGTAGTATCTACTGACACTACAGTAGTATCTACTGACACTACAGTAGTATTTACTGACTCTACAGTAGTATCTACTGACTCTACAGTAGTATCTACTAACTCTACAGTAGTATATACTGACTCTACAGTAGTATCTACTGACACTACAGTAGTATCTGCTGACTCTACAGTACTATATACTGACTCTACAGTAGTATATACTGACTCTACAGTAGTATCTACTGACACTACAGTAGTATCTACTGACTCAACAGTAGTATATACTGACTCTACAGTAGTATATACTGACACTACACTAGTATCTACTGACTCTACAGTACCATCTACTGACTCTACAGTAGTATCTACTGACTCTACAGTAGTATATACTGACTCTACAGTAGTATCTACTGACACTACAGTAGTATCTACTGACTCAACAGTAGTATATACTGACTCTACAGTAGTATATACTGACACTACACTAGTATCTACTGACTCTACAGTACCATCTACTGACTCTACAGTAGTATCTACTGACTCTACAGTAGTATATACTGACTCTACAGTAGTATCTACTGACACTACAGTAGTATCTACTGACTCTACAGTAGTATATACTGACTCTACAGTAGTATATACTGACACTACACTAGTATCTACTGACTCTACAGTAGTATATACTGTGTCTCTCTCTGTTTGTCTTTGCGTGGCTCTCTCTGCTTGTGTGTCTGTCTGTGCATCTCCTTGTCTGTGTTTTGTTTCTCTCTCAAAAGTAGCAATCTTTGGAAGAACGTAATAAACCAGGTGGGGTGTTGACTGTTGTGTTGGCCGACTCTCTGTGTTATATTGCAGTATATTTCTAAGTTCACTATGTTTGTTTTCTCATTCATTTGTACCTGGCGATGGTTGCTTCTGTTGCAATCAAAACGTCGTATTCTATTATCATTCTATTTAATTTCTATTTTATGTAATGAATGTTGTGTCTTGACCCTCCAGAGCTACCCGGAATTCACTCCTTAATCAGACCAGAGGCAAAGGATAATAATAGGGTTTTTCCCTTTTTTATATTTTGGTACTGGTGTAGTGTTTATAATGACGAATACACTAGGCACACTCTGTTTATTGTAATACTTCTCTTACACAGTCTTTAACACACAGAGGGGTATATGGTCCCCTTACCTGATACCCTAAGAAGGTACAGCCTCCGGACTTAGTGTGACCTACACACAGGTCTCTTCCTAACCTAAGGAGGTACAGCCTCCTATCTTGGCAGGACTTATTCACACGTCTACCGCTATCCTAGAGTCCTCCGGCTGGGACCTAGGGAAGGCTATCTGACCCACCGCTGGCCCAGTAGGTCTTGACCACTGGATACGCCGAGCCTTAGCCCTCAGAAGGGCTGGAAGGCTGGTCCAGGGTCTTAGCTGTGTTCAGCCCGGGCTTCGGTCTTGGTGTAGGGAGAGAACTCCCCGCGCTCTGTTTGGTCACCCTTCTTATACCCGTTTGTGGCCAGGTGTAACCAATCCCACATTCCTACGTGGAACAGTCTGATTGGGTCTTACCAAACTGTGGCTACGATCCACTTCACCTCGTCTGACCCCAACCGTCATGTACACAGAGGTAACGCTGCACTGCCCCTTTGATCCCTAGTGGCAATGCAGGTTACCGAACAGTGAGTAGTTAACGCCTCTACACTGGCAAAGGAGGTCTAATGATGCAGAGGCAAAGGAGCTTTAACCTGAACGAGTGCTTTACTGAATGACTCCATTTTGTGGCCCCAAACCCCAGGGACCGCGGTCCTTTATAGCTTGTAGCAAAGCTTGACATATCATTAGGGTCTGCGGACAATTACACTCAACAATGAAACATAATTTTAGATTTGAAGTTTTCGTGACTGCAAGGATTCATACTCTTTGTTTTTTTCGGTAAAGTCACATAGGTATTTTTTAAAAATAAATTAAATCAGTGATTTAAATCAGTGATTTAATTTATTTTAAAATCAGTGATTTAATTTATTTTATTTTTTACCTACGTGACTTTACCGAAAAAAACAAAGAGAATGAAACATGATGAAATATTTAATCGGAGGTGCGGGCAGAGGGGACAACAACTACACAACAACAAGCAGCAGTTGTAAAGAAATTAGTTTTCAAACTAATACTGTAGTGTACAGTGTAGTTTATAGTGTATTATATAATAGTGTTGTGTATAATGTATAGTAGTGGACTGGCGGTCCTCGGGTTGAAAAACCGAATTCGTTCCTGAGATCCGTTTGCAAATGGAAAGGTCCGCAAGTCTGGAACACAGCAAGGCGGGGAAGGACAACAAACACCAAAACCTTTCGATTTGTTTTCTCGTTCAGTCGGTGCGTCTGTTTCCCTCCTCCCTCCCTCCCACCCACCCCTGCTGCCAACTTGCAGGTAGCAAGAAGGTGATGGATTGCGAATCCAACACGAGCGGCACGTATTGTACGGCTTGCCGCGTGGGAGAAGGCTACACGGATGAACCGAACAGCTTCAACGAGTGCAAGAAGTGCACCGTTTGCAACGTGAATTGTAAGAGGGGTGGGTGGTTGTTTGTGGACACGACTTGAACCCAGGAACAATAAGGAGGGGACGGGTTCAGGCGAATCAAGGGGTTTGCCTGATTCAAGCAGCGCTCGTGATACAAAGTCAATCTCGCCGCTGTGGGCACCACTGCGGCGAGGGAGATGTTAACTACCTCGCCTGGTATGCAGGAGTTCCTGGGTTCGATCACGACGCTGACGATGCCTGCTACTGTACATTTGGAGTCTTTGTCTCTCCATCATCATCAGCGTGGCTAGGGAGCACAACACTAAAATAATGAGACTAAAACAACACTACAAAACACCAAAAAAAGATTAATTACTCCCAAACACAATTGTAAGCAGTAGCAGAAAACGCGTGCCAACAAGGGCACTCAATTTTGATTTTGATAATGTTGAAGTTCTGTGCAAAGCAAGTTACTACTGGCCAAAACTAATTAGATAATCCATCGAAATTGAAAGACGTAAAATCTAATAATAGGGGTTTCCCCTTTTTTCTGGCAACAAAACTGAAATTTTTTACGAGGATTCATGTCTGCATTAACCACAATATCTGCAAAGTGCAAACAAAAAAGCATACTTTGATAATTTGATGCATTGTCCTTTAAAGCCGTCCCTTGGTGTGGACCAATGCGTCATATTATGTATGTTTTTTTTTGTTTGCATTTTGACTGCAGGTATTGTGGTTAATGCAGTAACATGAATCCTTTGTAAAAAGGTTTCAGTTTTGTTGCCAGAAAAAAGGGGAAAACCCTATTATTATATATTGGTACTGGCAAAGGAGGTCTAATGACGTAAAATCTATTTAACCGTTTGGATAGCTACCGACTTAGTGCCGATTAGAAGTGAATCATCAAATAATACATTGTTTAAATGCATGCCTATACAGACCACCATACTTCAATAGGGATTACTATTGGTACGGCTATTTTAGTCCGCACAATGGACAGGGAGTACAAGATCAATGAAATAGTATAATGCTAATGCATAATGTATGTTGTCTCAGTTTGCACAAGAAGAGCGAATAAGTGGTCAGCATACTCTTTGGTTCTATTGGGTAAAGTCACGTAGGTACCCAATAGAACCAAAGAGTATGGATCCTTGCAGTCACGAAAGCTTTAAATCTAGAAGTGGTCACCACATCCACGTCTCTATATAAGGAACGAAACAAGTGGACTTTTTCACAATTCTGGCTGTCATCTGATGAAGCTAGTTGTAATTACTGGCAGAACGTCGTACTCAGATTGTAAATGTTGTGGCTTGGCTGTCCAACACACCGATGTGCTGCACTCGTATACTATACACTACACCACTGTACACTATACACTACTACACTATACACTACACTATACAGTAGTGCTGTACTAGTGTCGAATTGGCATGTTCTATTTACGTGACAACCCTTACTAGTTGACCGTGGTGGGTGGTGACGGGTTTAACGACACATATTTACATGCCGATCTAAGTAAAAAAAACTTCCATTATGGATGATATTGGTCACAAAAAGCATACGAGTTAAACTAACTACTATACAATACTGTACACTACACTAATATACAGTACACTACAATACACGACTATACACGAGACTACGCACTACACTTTTATATCTCCCGTTGTGGAAGCTTCGCTCACTCCACTCCCTTCGGCCAATCATCGTCCTCCTACTCCAACGGCTGTCAACCGTCACCCCCCTACAGTCGACCCTCGTTATTCCCCTTTGACGTTTGAATCTCTCAGCTCTGCATCGCTCAGAATCACCGCATCGCCCCGTGTCACCGCGTCGCTCCACATCACTGGGTCGTTGCACCGCGCGGATTACAATGGCGCGCATGCGTTCCGCCTCACAGCAGCGCGTGAATTGACGACTCGCTGTGCGTCCGAGACCGCTCTGTTCCATACGGCCAGGAACACGGCTGTATGGACTCTCGCCAAATATATTACCCACGTGAGGCGGTGGTGGTGGTGGTGATGGTGGTGGTGGTGGTGTTGCTCCGCAGTCGAAAACACTGAGAGCAGATGCACCGTCAGGCAGGACACTCGCTGTCGCTGTAAAGACGGCTTCCAGAGGGCTGCCCCATCGGACCCCTGCACGGACGCGAAGGCAGAAGCAGGTATGGACGACCAGTCACCACACCCACGCGGCTCTAACGCGCTCACAACATTGATCTTTGGTGGCGGATGTCGGTTTTAGACCATAATACAACATAAACGGAGGTGACAGCTAAAGAGTGGAAGGCAGAGACCAAAAGTCAATCGTTGAGACGTAGCAATGGAATAAGTGCCAAGTGTGAAGGCTTACCACCCACACCCCTACCCCAAATCCATTGCAATCACTCCCATTTGGACCAACAACAACAGCAGCCAATCACTGCTAAGTGGCGGTGACGTCTCCATGGCGCCTGTGCCAGGCTGGGTGCACTCTTGTGGCCACAAGAGGCGTCGAAGGCTCGGGTGAATTTGTCACACAAAAGAGAAACTCATGGCAATTGCACCGTGAAAATTCACTCCACGATTGATGGTTCTAGGCCTGGGGTTGCATCCCGCACCCCCTGGGGGGTTAGGGGGTGGCAAAATGTGCCCAGATATTTTTTTGTACGTGAATCATCGAAGCACACAAATTAAGCACCGGGCACATTAAGTTGCAACTTACTTTGATTTTATTACACTAAGCTATAAACTACGCCCAACAACTAAACTACTATAAAACTACACTACTATACAACTACACTACTAAACACTACACTACTATACACTACACTACTATACACTACGCAACTATACAATACGCAACTATACACTACACATTACTATACACTACACTATACACTACAATGAACTACACTATTCACAAAACTACTAGACACTACAATATACAATACACTATACACACAATACACTACTATACACTACACTTTACCCGACACCATACACAATACACTACTATACACTACACTATATACGACACTACTATACACTATACTACTACACACTACACTATGCACTACATTATACACTACACTACACTATACACTACACTACTATACACTACACTATACACTACATTATACACTACAATATACACTACACTACTATACCCTACACTATACACTACATTATACACTACACTATACACTACCAAACACTACACTATACACTACTATACACTACAATATACACTACACTTTATATTACACTATACACTACTGTACTATATGTGTACAATCTTCAGACGTTGCTGGAGCTATTGCCGGTGCTGTCATTGGTGATGTCGTGATCACCATTTTATTTGTGGTGACCGTGGGCCTCCTTCTCTACAGAATTCGCAATGGACACTTCCCCTGGGGTAAGTCGCAGTGGCTAGGAGGATGTTGACTCCCTCAATTGGTACGCAGGAGGTCGTGGCTTCGATGCTAGACTATACACTACACTATTATACACTATACAATACTATATTATACACGACTATACACTAGTATACACCATTTTATACACTACTCAACTATATTTTGATTTAAAGCTCTCGTGACTGCAAGGATTCAAATTCTCGGTTCTTTCGGTAAAGTCACGTAGAAGGGAAACAATAAAATAAGAAAAATATAAAACAATAAATATTGTTTAAAAAAATACAAATATAAAACAAATATAAAACAATAAATATTGTTTTATATTTTTATTTTTTTACCATTTTATTGTTTCCCTTCTACGTGACTTTACCAAAAGAACCAAGAATACTCAACTATACTCTAATATACACTACTACATGCTACACTATACTCCTAATCTACTGTATGTGTACGATACTCAGACGTTGCTGGAGGCATCACCGGTACTGTCAACATTGCAGTCGTGGTCATCTTACTTGTGGCGACCGTGGGCTTGCTTGTCGACAGAATCATCCTAAAACGCTTCCCGTGGAGTAAGTCGTGCTGGCTAGGAGGATGTTGACTCCCTGGCCTGGGACACAGGAGGACGTTGGTTCGATGCCAGATTATAATGCCAGGCTATTATACACTACTATCCTGTACACTACACGCTGCACTACTATACACTACACTACTCTACACTACTATACACTACACCACTACACTACTATACACTACACCACTACATTACTATACACTACACACTACACTACTATACACACTACACTATACACTACACTACTATACGCTACAATATACACTACTATACTCGACACTACTATACTGTACACTACACGCAACACGACTATACACTATACTACTATACCCTACACGACTCTACACTACACCACTACTCTACTATACACTCCACTATACATTACTATACACACTACATTACTATATTCTACACTATACACTACATTCCTATACACAACACTTACTTTACACTACACTATACACTACTATACACTACACTATACAATACTCTACTTTACACTACACTATACACTACTCTACTATACACCATTATACACTACTATACACTACACTACACTATACACTACACTATACACTACACTATACACTATTCTACTATACACTAGACTACACTATACACTACACTATACACTACACTATACACTACTCTACTATATGTGTATGATCCTCAGACGTTGCTGGACCTATCTTCGGTGCTGTCATTGGTGCTGTCGTGCTCCTCAGTTTAGTTGTGGTGGCCATGGGTCGCGTTCACTACAGAATCCGCATTGGACACTTCCTCCGGGGTAAGTAGCCGTGGCTAGGAGCATTTTGACTCCCTCGTCTGGTATGCTGGAGGTCGAAGGTTCGATTCCAAACCCTGATGATGCCTGCTGCTATATGTTAGGAGTTTGCATGTCTCTCTCTCTCTCATCATCATCACAATGTAGTGTGTAGTGTCGTGTATAGTGTAGTGTACATTGTAGTTTATAGTGCAGTGTGTAGTGTAGTATGTAGTGTAAAAATCTTGACTGAAAGTTTTTGTGACTGCAGGTATTCATATTCTTTGGGTCTTTTGGTAAAGTTACGTAGATAGAACAATAAAATGAAAAAAATGAAAATGAAAATAAAGTGAATAAAAAATAATAAATATATCACCACGTTTTGATCACAACACAAGCGATCGTCATCAGGAAGAAAAAGAGGGGGAAAGCTGCTGAGGCAGGCTGTTTTAAAGGTTTGAAATGGGTGTAGCCCAAGGGTCATAAACGAAGTGGGCGGGGCTAGTGATGTTAATGTGAGAGAGATTAGCATATCAATGTAGGAGATTAGCATGTCAATGTAAGAGATTAGCGTGTCAATGTAAGAGATTAGCATGTCAATGTAAACGCGGGCTGTGTTAGTGTGAACCTGTGAATGTAAAATCAGAGAGTCGAAAATAACTGGTAACACCCATAAAGCAGGTAAGGTTTTACCTGGTTAATGACGTCCTTTCAATGAGTGCTCAGTTTGTACCCATCTTCTCGGTTGAAATTGTGTCTGTGCCTATATATCTGGATGGCTTCATGAACGAATCTTTGTTGATAGCCAGTGGGTTTGCAGAGTACCTTCATCTTGGATAAATCAATTTCGTGTGAGCCCACTGCATTAAAACAATAATCAGCCATGGCTGAGGTATTGGTCCTACCTTGTTTCAGGTCTGCCTTATGTTCACGAACACAGTCCAAGACATGTCGCTTAGTTTCCCCAGTGTAACTACTGCCGCAGATACAGCTTAGTTTGTAGATGCCGGGGTATTGCATGTCAAGGATCACATCCTTCACAGATGGGATCAGATCACGAATTGTATGTACTGTGTTAAATCTAAACTGGATCTTTTGTTTGCTCATGATTTTGGAAATATTTTTGGTGACCCCTGCTATGTATGGCAAGGTGATGGTTTTGATTGGGTCCTCAAATGGTTCTTTCGCAATGGTTGGGGTGATAGCTTTACGGATTGTGTAGTCTGAATATCCATTAAACTTGAGGGCTTGGTGTACGTGTTCCAGATTACTGGCTAGGTGGTGATTGTCGAAAACACAACGAGCTCTATGGTATATAGTCTTTTATAGTGTAGTTTCTCGTGTCGTGTATAGTGTAGTGTGTTGTGTATAGTGTAGTTTAGAAGAGGATACTATGATAATCATCGTCATCATCAACATAAGCCCATCAAGACAGCACTATATGATGCAATGTATAATTCGCAAGCATATATATATAAAACAAAGCTTTATAATAATTTATATTTATCTCTTATACAGAAAGACGTCATGGTACAAGTCAGAATATACCTTTGAATACGGCTGAAGAGGGTGTGATTGTAAGTCATTCCACCTCGCTCAGTCTGTGACCTGACCAAAACACACTCCTGTTATTGTTGTCACTACTTAATGAGAACCTCAGCAGACTGCGTGAGTCACCAGGGTCATTTGCCTGTCCTGAATCGCGATGGTCATCACGGGTAAGTGAATCATTAGGTGTGGCAGCACTCGTCATTATAATCTGCGTCAACCTTTCCATGTTGACTCTCCAACGAGGTCCCTCAGATCTTAGGATCGCCATCTTTCTAAGGACTCAGAGGTCAAGGCTCTGATCCTTGGGTGATCGGGCCTAGTGAGTGGTTGTGTGTGTGGTTGAGGGGGTGAGTGAGTGGATGAGTGAGTGAATGTGTGGTGAGTAGTTAAGTGAGTGGTTGAATGAGTGAATGGTTGAGTGAGTGAGTGGCTGAGTGAGTGGTTGAGGTGGGTAAATAAGGATTTACCAGTTCTGGCCATCTACCCTGCATGTTCTGTATATTTCCTGTTTTCCATACACGGTGGTGCATTGGGATCTATGGAGGAAATGCGCCACTTCATAAATGTGTGGTGTTAATACTCACGTGATTCTGAGGTCGAAATAGTCACGATGCTAGGTTACTGTTAAAGATGACGTCACGGACGAAGGGAAAGAGGCGGGGCGTGAGAGAGAGGGAACGCCCACGAGGGGAGCCGTGACGTCACCGTATGAGGCGGGGCGATCGGGGGGAGGCTTCGTGGTGAGATTTGGAGTGGAGTGGTCCGCACGCGGCGTGAGCTCGTGCGGAAAACAAAGAGGAGCTGTGTCGTCTCTACCTTCGTCTGGTGGACTCATTACAACTGTAATGTTTTATCATTGCCTACTTTTAGGGGACAATTAGCCTCCGTTGTTCCTACCGTGAATATCCTTTTTAAAAAATGGTTGAGCTAGAACATACGTTGTATTCTCGTTTATAATTAAAACAGTCGGCATATCTTTAGGTGAGCATCTTTCCCGTCATGGTGTTGAGTGATGATGGAGCGATGTCACGCAAGACGCAAGACACGCCATTGGCAGCTGATCGCTTTGTGTGTTTAACCGGTGGTTCTCGAAACTGAAAGAAAAAAAACAGCCTGCTGTGTGGTAGCTACAACACACAGCAGCAATGTAAGATCGACGTTTACCAAAACGTTTGAAACAAAAAACTAATCCTTCAAAAACATTTTTACATATGAACTTTATGGAGGGACCCCGGGGTCCAGAATACACGGAAGTCAAAATCGTAATTAATTTACTTATTTTGGCGACTCTGTGCCACCGCGCACATAAACACCGCGACCCACCAGAAATCGATCCTCTCGTTCTTCACCAAGCACCCGTAGTTGCCAAATTGCCATAGTCACAAACATAACTTCGAAACTTTGATTAGCACATTGTGTAGAGGTCATCGAGAGGAGGAATAGATTGTCGTATCGTTCGCCTTCAACAGACATAAAATTACATCGCAACGCAGTTTATGCGAGAGCCGGGGCCTTATGGGACCCCAGGGTCCCGCCATGACGTTCATATGTCACACACAATGACCGATAATGGTTGAGGGGTGGGGGGGGAGACGAGGCAAGGTAGCCATGGAGACAGTTCCGGTAGGGGATGGGGGCAGGCCAGAAGTGCGGGGTAGGCGTGGACGAGACAGGTGAGTGAGGACGACAAGGCGGGTTACGAGTGTAGCGACATCTTGGATATCACGGTGTAATGCCGGCCCTAGAGAGGCACGGCGTGCGATGTGCTCGCATTACGGACACCGCTTATATGTGGGTGTATTACCGGCCCTAGTTGGGCTCTTTGAGCACTGATTCATAGCAGTGAGTTGCACCACGCTCGGCGTGCAGTGCCGACCCCTACAGGATGGGGTGTGAGAGTGTCAGCCATGGAATGGGGTTACTTTCGGCCACGGCACTCTGGTTGACCCCAGAGGACACGTGACTGGTAAAGTCTAAACAGGTGCCCCCAAGTGGGGGGCTAGGGGGAGTCACGTGTCAGGGCGAGATCCTGCTCGAGGATTCCAGAAGGTGGTCGTAACCAAGGTCGGAGCCAGCCACGACGAGTGAGGATATAAGCTGGGTTCCCAGAGTGTCCGGGGTTCAGCGTTGCTGCTGTTATCCTGAAGATCTACGTCCTACGTCCGAGAAGAGTCACCATCACGTGGACCTGGACCCGAGCTGGGTCCTGTCCACTGTAGCTACTCCCAGTGTAATCAGTGTAGTTAGCCTGGTGGTTCACCACCATAGGTTGTTATCTGGTAAAGGAGCAGTTACCCCTTTGTGTTGGTGTTGATAAATGTGTTGGCTCCAAAGAGTACGTCTGGACTCAGTTGAATCGACTATACAAGGCTCGAGATTGGAGGAGGAGGAGGACAGCGAGAGAGAGAGAGGGGTGGCTGTATATTTTGTTATGTTATTGATGATGTGTTGATACGGGCGGCGAGGGCAGCAATGGAGTATTTTAATCGAGTGAGAAGTCAGACGACCGGCTGTGGTCGGAATAAATTCTCAAATTGATATTTCCGACGAGCAAGACGGGATTACTACTGCATGTTGAATGCATGTTCATTATGAAACGCCCCCTCTTCATATGTTTGCAGGGATTTAGAAATAATTCACTGCGCGGTAATTTCTCCGGTCATGATGAAATGAATGTAAGTCATTCGACGTTATGGTAAGCACGCAAGCCCCGACACAACGGGTCCATGGTTTTCTGGAGGAAGGTGGCGGGGGGTACAGAAAGACCGTGGGGGAGGGGAGGGGAGGAGGGGGACTTTAGGTGCTTGAAGTGTTGTCTAGCTGCGGTGAAAGAATTTGCGGTCTCCACCCTTGAAGGAGTTTTCTGACGGTGGTGTAGAGTTGTAGCTTTTATATAAAAAATATATATATGGGGGTGTGGTGTGCGGAAGTAACCAACATTCCACGGGGAGATCAGTTGTGGAGAGAGTGGAGAGATTATCCGTCCCTGGGCATTCTATAGCTGTACCAGAAGAATTCCCACCTGGTAAAGGTAAAATGGGAGTCTGATCGATGCTTTGGTGCGGTTGAGGGATGGTCAGCCGTGTTGTGCGTGCTGACGATGATCTGGCAATTGCTGCTCACTCACTTGCTGTGTCTTTACTCTGGCAGAGTGCAGAGGATTTCATTGGTAAAATGATCACGGAAAATCAAGAGGGCAACTGGAAGGACATTGAGAAGCATTTGCCAGAGTTGCGAGAGTGGATCGGCAAAACTCCCTCCCTTTTCCTGCACGAGCTGAAGACGAGGAATGTGGTTACAGAAGAGGAGTACTGGAGGGCGTTTACAATTCCCGTCGCCGCCATGCGCGAGGACTCCATCCTGTTGCCCGTCATGAGACGAGGGGGCGGCAAACGCCGAGAGTTGCTGGAGATACTCGAACAACAGCGGAGTAGGGAACGGCATTTCCTGGACATGCTAAAGACGAGCCGTGCGTACAATTTACACACTCGTTAGCGTTGCAATCCATCAAACGTAGCGTTTTTTTAATCTTTCATGATGGAGCGCTTCATAATAATAATATTTAATATAGCGCTATTCATGCTAATATTATCCAACAGCGCTGTACAAATTATATATATACCGATTACCGCGCATATGAACACCATCGGAAAGTAAAAAATCATAATAATCAAATACATAAATGTCACCAAAACTAAAGAGACACAAATAACAGTTTAACACCTAGGCTTTCGCAAACAAAGTTATTTATAATAAAGGTTTTTTGGTTAGATCGCGTAGGTATAAATGTGTCGTAACCCTCCACCTGACACAGCCAGTAAGGTTTGTTATGTAAACAATGCACCAATTAGTTTATAGTATAGTGTAGTGTGAAATTGAGAGAAATACAAATATTATTAACCATTCTGACAGCTACAGGCTTAGTGCGGTCTGGAAGCGTATTATTAAGTGATACACCTTACAACTGTATTGTATATAGAGGAAACACATGCTAATTAAATGATTAACAATCTATTATATATTTACAATAAACGCCCCCTCCTCCGCCTCTGATCTCTGCACCTGATGGGTTCAGTGATGACGTCATCACGCTCTATTTAAGACCGGAAGCAGGTGGATTGCTTCGCTATTTAGCAAATCGCCCGATGATGCTGGATGTAATTACCAGCGAAACCTTATACTCGTATTGTAAATGTTTGTCTTTACTCTCCAACAGACCGGTGGGCTGAAGTAGTATTGTTTACGTGACAAACCTTCCTACCTGTCGGGTGGTGGATGGTGACAACAGATTAATACTTATGCGATCTAACCTCAAAACCTTCATTATGACAGAAATTAGTCCACTAAGTCTCCACATCGCAGGCCAACATTTCCAACGTCTTACTCATGCAGGAAATCCTTCACAGGCGGGTGGCAGTGGTCGACTGGGCAACAAAGTTGTGATTAATTTAGGCCGATCTCAGTGGACACTGGATACATATCATACCCATCCCCTTTACATCATCAGCCAAGGTCAATCCTCTGCTGGAAAAGGCCTCCCCAAGCCTCCAATACCTCCCATGACCATGCTATGCAACGATCCACTTACCACTCGCACACAAGCTGATTTAATTGCCGACAGTAGCTCCATGCGTATATTAATATACATCCGTAGTTCGATGTAGCTTCGGGCAATGAGATAGTTGGAATGCATTTCATCAAAAGTAAGAGTAGTATTCCTCAATTGTCCACTTGCATTCCGGGGAGCCCAAAAATCAATGTTGGAGTAACACGGCACGGCCCCACGTGCTCCAATGCTGCCGCGGTGTAAAGGTTTGGTACACGAGGAGGCAATACTGCTGGCTACAGTACAATGAGTGGTCACCAGTAGTAGAGTAAACTAAACTAGACAAAATGTTTAAACGGAACTATTTCATTTTACTGAGTTAATGTCTCACTGAGCTGCTATGTAGTAGCTCATTGGCCTGGCCACAAACGATAGCTGAACGAAAGTGGATTATCCATCATCACCATGTGGCCAAAGTAGCAGCCAAATACTCTAAATTGAGCTGTCTAGCTCTTTTTCAGATGCGATCTGGCCATCAACCAAGTAGCTGATATCATCATGTGGAAATGTATAGCAGTCTAATGCTCTAAACGCGTAAAATGTATTCTTAATGTGGTGGAACAACCCGGAGGACCCGGAGAAAAATCCACATGGCCACCATGGGGAGAGAGGGAGAGAGAGAGGCGTCAGGGTCAGGATTGAACGCACGACCTCATGCATACCAGTCGAGGTAGTTAACATCTCCTAGCCACTGTGGCTCATGTAACCAGCTTGGAAGGGAGGGCCAAATACCCTCAAGAAGGGGCTCTGAAGCTGCTTCTAGTCGAGATTCTTCCACCAGCAGTGGCATGGGCAAGAAATGTCCAGGTGCACCTCTGCCTCTCTTGGCGACGACTTAATCATGGCTGACCATAACGAGCAAAAAACTGAGTCGTGATTGTAAAGATTTACACAATGATTTGTTTTTCTTGCAGATTTGTGCTCGCCCACTCTGAACCCCAACTCGGCACATCGACAGCTTCAAATTTCTGCCGATCTCAGCACAGTGACGTGGAACCAGACGGCTCAGCCTTACTCTGATCACGCAGAGAGGTTTGAGTGGTGGCCAATAGTCCTCTGCTTTGAGAACTTCTCGTCGGGTGACCACTACTGGGAAGTGGACGTGAGAGCCTCTAAAAACTGTTCTATAGGCGTCGCAGGTGAGTCGATTCCTAGGAATCGTCAAGAAAAGTCTGTCAGGCTGGGCTGGAATGAGAAGTCTTGGGCGTTCATTCAATGGGATTCAAATTACTCTGCAAGACATGGCGACCAATCCATTGCTTATCCAGAGATTACGCATTTGGAGAGAGTCGGCGTTCGCTTGGACTTTAACGCAGGAAAACTTTCGTTTTACAACGCCAGCACCATGGAGCTGTTGCACTCATTTGATGACATTCCAAGTGAGCCTCTCTGTCCGGCTATGCAGATGAAGTCGGGCTCAGTCGCGATTTACGAAGGTGAGTACAAGGGCGTGTCACGTATCGGGAATCCTTGACACTTACTGGGAGTGTGTTCATACCCAGAAGTAAAAAAACGGTTCAGAATCATCACCTGCGGCGATGTAGCCACGGCAGTAGAACACGTGAACATCGCCTTGTTGATCCACTGCTGAATAAGTGCCCATCCATCCTTTGGGTTGGTCGTGGAGGTTATTTGGCCCTCCTTCACCTGCTATGTCTGTGTGCGGCAGGGGTAGTGAAGGTGGTGAGGGAGTCTAGACGCGAGGTCACAGCAGAACACGCCCAAAGCGGTGGTCCTAGAAACACTGTGGCCGTGTTCGTTTTACCACCAGGAAACGAACAAGGCAGATTGTCTCAATCTGAAACAAACAAACAACTACAACATCCAATTTTCTGAAATTTCGTATTGAGGCTTGATTTTTTTTTCAATTAATTTCTCAAATCGGGAGTACAGATGCCGAAATATGAAAGCGTGAATTAGGAAAAAAAAAGCCTAAAAATTACAAAAAGTGATGGAGGAGGTTGCTGTTCTAAATTATACTGGGAGATATAAAGAGAATGTATAAAGCAAAGAATGATTGTGGGCACACTGATGGCTGTTGGTGACAGAGACGGAGATGGAGTGATATCAGCTTACTTGTTAAACTATATTGTGACAATCTAGATTAACTGTTTTCGTGACTGCAGGGATCCATACTCTTTGGATCTTTCGGTAAAGTCACGTAGGTATAAAATAAATTAAATCACGACGTTTAGGGGGGATCTCAGAGAGAATAAGATTGCTCTGATTTGAACTTGATAATTTAGACAAGACTCTCTTGCAATCACACCTAATATGAACAGAAAAAAATGTCCACTTCGGATTGGGACCATGTAGAAAACATGACAGTCTCCTCTGCTAATTCAATGTCAATCAAATGTAAAGTTAACTTGATTGCTAAATTCAACCTCCTGTCAAAAAAGAAGCCAGATCCACACGTTAAAAAGTTAGCTGTTAACAAGATTGTCATCAATCAGAGTACCATCCCAATATCTGACAGCCTAAAATCGGTACTGTCTAAAGGGTTGAATTTCGCAGTCGTCCCTAAACATATCCCAGTGGATGATATAATCTCCCAGGTCGACGTAGCCCTCAAAGGCTTGGGATACATCCCGACAGACGTTGCTAGAGCTGAAATTGCCACCATCCTTAAAAATGCTAAGAAACCCATTAGTAACATCAGCAAAGACGAACGCTTTGAACTCGGCCGACATGGGCAATGCGACTGTCATCATGGATGACCACATACAACAACAAAATCCAGGACCTTCCTAATGATGGCAGCTACACCAAAATCAACAAAGATCCTACTAACAGCCTGACTACAAAAAACAACAATATCATTACCAGTTCGAATTCTCTAATCGAACCTGTCAAACGGCTCTTCCTAAAACCTTCTGCTGCTAGACCACCCAAATTATATGGTTTTCCTAAGATCCATAAAGAAGGCACTCCACTTCGGCCCATCGTTTCCACTATCAACTCACCTACCTACAAGTTGGCCTGTTTTCTGTCTGATGCCTTGCTTCTATTCACTTGCAAGACTACCTCAACAGTACTTAACTCAGCTCACTTGGTCTCTATAATCAACGGCATTTCACTGTCCCCAGATGATCTTCTCGACAGCTTTGATGTGGTTTCTCTGTTCACCAAGGTGCCTGTGCCTGACACATTAGCAATAATTGAAGATTTAGTCCAACATGGACTGAACCCTGATGTTCCTACTCTAGTTAGGCACTGCCTTACCAACACTTACTTCACCTGGAATGGTACTTTCTACAAACAAAATGAAGGTACCCCCATGGGTTCCCTCTTATCACCAGTGATAGCGAATGTTTTCATGGAGAAATTTGAAACTGATACCATCCAGACATCCACTCTACGTCCTTCCTTGTGGAAGAAATATGTGGATGACACTTTCGTCATTTGGCCACATGGCCTGTCAGCACTGAACCAATTTCTCAGCCACATTAATTCTATACACCCATCCATTAAATTTACCATGGAAGTGGAGAAGAATGGTAAGCTACCATTCCCGGATTTTTTGTTTGAGAAGAGAATTGATGGCTCTTTGGGACACTCTGTCTACAGGAAAGCCACCCACACAGATTCCTATCTTAAACCTGATTCCCACCACCATCTGGCACAGAATAATTCCCTCATCAAAACACTACACCAAAGGGCCCACAGCATTTCTGACCAACACCACCTAGCCAGTGAACTGGAACACGTACACCAGGCCCTTAAGATGAATGGAAATTCAGACTGCATTATCCGCAAAGCTGTTTCTCCCACCATACAGAAACAACCACTTGACACTCCGATCAAAACCATCACGTTACCATACATAGCAGGCGTTACCAAAAATATTTCCAAAATCTTAAACAAACACAAGATCCAGGTCCGATTCAGTACAGTACACAAAATCCGTGATCTAATCCCATCTGTGAAGGATGTCATTTCTGACATGCAATATCCTGGAGTCCACAAACTAAGTTGCTCCTGTGGTGGCTGTTACATTGGGGAAACCAAAGGTCATGTGTCGGACCGGGTTCGCGAGCACAACGCAGATCTGAAACACGGCAGAAATCAATACCTCTGCCGTAGCTGACCATTGCTACAACGCTGTGGGCTCTCATGATATTGTTTTTTCCAAGACCAAGGTACTCTGCAAACCTTCGGGCTACTATCAAAGGTGTGTTCATGAAGCCATCCAGATATATAAACATAAAAATAATTTCAACCGAGAAGATGGATGCAAATTGAGCAATCATTGGTAGGATGTTATTAACCAGGTAAAACCTTAACTGCTTTATGGTGTTGCCTTCATTTCCACATCTCCAGTTTATTCAGCCTCCTACCCCCAGCCCCGCTCACTTCCCAGTCCCAGCATATTGTTGTGCTCGTGTTGGAGCTGGCAGCACTCCACTCTCCATACCCCACACCCCCAATCTCTATCTCTCCCCCCTTGCTCCTCCCCCCTTTCTTACCTATATGGCCTCTTTTTACAAGCAGCCCTTTGCCCACTAAAGCAATTGTTTCTTGATGTGGTTGTCCCAGCTGATGATGGACGCTTGTGTTGCGCCCGAAACGTCGTGATTTAATTTATTTTTATTTATACCTACGTGACTTTACCGAAAGAACCAAAGAGTATATTGTGACAGTGAAATTGATTGTCAGCGCAGGACCATAATAAATGGTAGTGGCTTGGGGAGACCTCCCAGCGATGACTTACAAATAATGTATGATGATGGGACCTCCTTTGCCAGTACCAAAATATGAGCCTAGGTGTTCCTCTTTTTCTGGCAACAAACAGGTGTTAAGATGTAAAAAGGGGAAAACATAGTATCATATTTTGGTACTGGCAAAGGAGGTCCCATGATGTAGACGCTCACCCCGAGGCTCTCATTACTCTAACAGTGGCATTGTCTTTGAGCTGTGTTAGCCTTTTGGCGTCCTCTGGTCTCTCGTGTGGACCAATCAGTTTCAAAGACAATGCATATATGATCAGAGGGGGAAAACCTATTCTCAATTAAGTATGATGATCATAATAAACGTGACGAAGGCATTAAACAATTGCAATTTTGGAACTCAAATTTGTTTTTTTGATTTTTACAAATATTTTAACAGCTCAATCATTCAAGAACCTGACTTTGGATGAGAGCAGAGAAGACATTCAGATTTGTGATCACTTTGCAAACGGTGGAGTTCATCACACAAACAACACCGATGCAGAGAAGGGTGACAGCGAAGATGAATTGCTCAGAACGACGACGGAAGAACCTCCGGTGGCACGTGAGTTGATCGGTAGGAGCCCTGCAATGCTACATCGCGAGTTGCTCGTCCAGGGTCTCATCACGCAATCCGAGCTCTCAGAAGTCTATTCGATACCCCGCGCATCAGCACGAGCTGACTTCATCATCAGCCGCCTCGATCACAAGCAGGAAGAGAGCCCGCAACTCAAAGGGATTCTGCATGAACATCGTGAAAAGCAAGAGGCTTTTCTGAAAATGCGGAGAGAGTCGAGTACGTGATTTACTGTACACGCCACACCACGTGCATTGCTGAGTGTATTAATGCATCATCTTTGTCACTCATCTCTAGTGCTGATGCACGATGACGAAAGATATGCGTATGAGATGTGAAACCTCAGTACAGTGGAATAAGTAATCGTTTAGCATTAAGGGAAAATTCGTTCATGCATTGTGGCAGTAACCTGGCGTACGTGGAAAAAAACCCACGAGCATCAGAATCTTTATCCTGGATGAGGACTCCGATGAGCTTTCAAACTCTTTTTCACAGATGCCCAGTAGGGACACGGAGTCAGCGAGTTACATCAACACCAAACAATAAGTATGAAGTGGGTAACACGTAATCCCCCTATAGATGGATTCCAGATGGTAATGAATCCACTTGCCTGTTCTGCCATACCCTGGCATGGTAGAAGGTCGTGACATCATAGCCATTGCGAAGGGAGATTCACGAATCTGTGATCCACCAACCCTCGCCCCCAAAGTGCTGGATTACCGGCGACGTCACAGGTAACGACCAGACGTGTCCTGAAGCCATCAGACAGTTTGGTGGACAGTTTACTGAGAGTGAGATTGGGTCAGTCGGTTGATACCTTGTGCTCTATTTGATTTGCCTTTCATAGTCGGGGTGGAACCTAGGGCAGAAACTTAGGCACCCCTGACAAAGACTACATCAGCTGTGTGAAGTGCAGCCCGGCACGCTAAAACTTTCAGCAAATGTTTGTACTTCTAACTGACATTGTAAAGTGTAAAGTGTATTTTTCAAAAGTAAACAATGTTCGCTCAAAACAATATGTGCATTGATATCGTTAACAGGCACTTGCTCGCCGACTCTGAACCCAAACACTGCACATCGGAACCTCCAGATTTCTGCCGACTTTAAAACCGTCAGGACTTCCACACACACCCAACCTTACCCTGACAATTCAGACAGGTTCGACCACTACCAAGTGGTCATTTGCTCTGAGAAAATCGTGTCGGGTCGCCACTACTGGGAGGTGGACGTGAGAGGTTGTGAGAAATTCGTCATCGGTGTCACGTATGACGCGATACCACGGAAAAGTGATGACAAATCCTGTAAAATTGGGTTCAATGAAGTTTCGTGGAGCCTTAAGAAATGGGACGACTACAAGGCGGTACATAACGAGACAGAAACAAAACTGACGGTGCGAGATGCTCCCAAAAGAGTCGGGGTTCACGTGGACTGGGAGGCGGGCGTCTTGTCATTCTACAGCGCCGACTCCATGTCGCTGCTGCATCGATTTCAAGGAAAATTTGATCGAGAGCTGTACCCTGCAATGGCCGTGCTGCGTAGAAGTCTCTCAATATGCCCGTTGCCTTACTTAGACGCTCGTCGTTAGCGATGAGAGGCTCCGATTTGAGCGGTCGCCCATGCGACCCCTGTATGTATGTAGAGTAACTCCCTGTACAACCGCGAGGGTTCAGGTTCCTGAAAACCCTCGGAGTTGGTAAAGTTACAGGGGGCCTATGGGTTGTAGGGGGTTAGGGGAACCACGGGTGTGGTTAGTCTCATCATAGCTTAACTAAGTTGCCTATTATTAACTAAAATATGTTACGTAATAAAAAAGAAACACGACTTTAACTTTACATACCTTTTAATATTAACGACGTTTAAAATTAAGAAGTATTAACGACGATGATGACGATGACAATGAGATGACGGGGAAGGGCTGGTTAGAAGGAGGAGGGGCTCAGCCCAGCCACCCCCTTCCTCAAGACCACAGACGCAACTCCCTCTCACCACTCGTTGCATGCTTGGGTCCATGAATAAGCGCAAAATGATTGTGCACCATGAAGTACTGTACAACAAAACAGACGGCAAGCTGATCACTTGAGCAGCGCCATGGCCCCATGGAATTTGTATTACATTTCGCGGTTCGCAGAGCATACAAAACCTCTGTATTGATGTCAGGTGTTTACGTATTTTTATATTAATCTGTTCATATAGTCGATCGTGCTGCTTATGAATCAATGTTATGCTAATGTCCGATTTTTTTTATTTCTGAGATTCTGTGTATATGGTATTCCGATGTCATATTTCATCTTTAACTTGATTCTGTGAGAGCCATATTTTGTATTAAACTCCATACAGCGAGTGCAAACAAAACCATTGCATTCCGATGGCGTACATCATCCTAAACTTGACTGGGGGTGAGCAGCTACAAAACGGGATATATATTTTTTGCGAGTATTAAAGTATGAAAACATAACAGGAGGTTTTAACCCTTTCTGGCACTTAAAACTTTCGTGTTAAGATTAGTAAAACATCAAATAGAAACCTTCTACAAGGAACTGTGTCACTGCGTTAACCACACACAGGGTCCTTGTGGTGAACATGCAAAAGTGCTGCTCGCATTTTGGCGTTCTGTGGCCTGACACTGGTGGTGAGACTGGGCCCTAAAGAAGTCTGCTGTCTCTGGTGTGGACCAATCAGTTTCAAAGACAATACCATTTATTATTATCAGAGAATGATTTATTTGCATGTTCACCACAAGTACCACGTGTGGTTAATGCAGACACGATTCCTAGCATGAGGTTTCTATTTGGTGTTTGAACATCTTAACACGACTGTTTATGCCAGAAAGGGCAATACAAGCTGCTCTTATTTTTCATGCTTTGACTGTGAGGGTCCGATCTGATATTGAACTTCATTCAATGATTCTCCACCCCACATTTTGGTTGGCTGGAAACACGCAGGGACATCTGCAGACTGTCAGAAGCCTATCGGCTCCAGGGAGAAGGGGTGGGAGTGGTACCAGACCGGTAACCAGGAAACTCTGGAATGGGTTTCGTGTGGCACGACATCGCTCGGCAGAGCTGGGCACAAATCTGGCGAGCCACAAAATATGGTCCAGGAGCTCCCTCACTTAAACTCATCCAGTTGCAAACGACCGAACTTGAGAGGCACTCAAACCAGGCCAATGTGCAGCCGAGTTGACTTTCAAAAATTAGCCCAGGACCTCCGGTTGGCAAAAAATATGCCTCGTCGATGATGGGTCCGGGAGGAGGAAGGGATTTTACAAAATCGTAAGGAAAATATTTGAAAGGGAAAAAAAAATCCGGAAACGGATGTGAGCCCGGAGGCGATGGAAAGTTACTTAAAGGGGGCTTCGAGGAGCATGAAGGGGGGTAGAGCACGAGGAGTCTTGGGGGGTGGGACGCTCGAGGAAAGGGGCAACTACAAGAAGTGAAAAACCAAGTGCCGGGCTGAGTGCAGGTCGCTCTGTGACTTCAATAAAGAGGCTCTGAGTACTCAGTCGTCAGTGTCACTTCACACGGAGCAATAAAAACGTGGGGGACACAATGTATGAAGGTGTCACCGGACTGCCGGCATGATGCAAATCTATCAGCCACGCTGCCCAGAAATTGAGAAACTTTACCGTAATGTCTCGATGGGTTTTTTTTGCTTTCAATAAAAATGTGAGGCACCTTCCTTGGGCCCGTCAACAGATAGAGGAGACACCGCGATTCAACTTCCAGTCGTGGATTCATTTCGTTCCAGCGCAGCCACACCCAACCACTCCATATATGGGCATGCAATTAACTGAGATAACCAACTACTATCTCGTAGCGCAACATCTAGCGGAGACAGCAGCGACGACGAGACGAGTCCACTCCCAGAACCGGCAGCCTCGAGCCCCCCCATGCTCATGGCTTCTTTTATGCTACCAACGTGGCCTGGCTCTGCCCTGACTGCGCCTCCCTTCTCCCGAACCCGCTAGCAGGTTCCAGGGGCCTCCAGACGGGGTCCTCCGTGACCTTTGCCCCAGTTACTCCGCTCTGCCAACACGCACCGTGCTCACGCCCTCACCGGCGTGTGCGCTGTCTGTCCACCACCGTTGCCGCTGCTGTGCACCAGACGGCACTATGATGCTACGTATGTACGTTGAACTAAGTTTGGCACCGTACGTAGCCAAGCGTGGACAATTGGTAGGTGCGGGAGGCAGGACAACAACACTGAACACAAGCACACTAAATAGGTTCATCATTAATCTTTTTAAAATAATTACAAAAAAATAAACCAATAGACTTTTCTGAAATGTTTTTAAAGAGAATGGAGACACCCCAGCTGGAGTTGCCCAAATCCCTGACCTGTGTCACTGTTGTGCTTGAGATTTTAGAATTTTTCCACGGACAGACAAACAGGCAGAGGGACAGGCAGACAAACAGGCAGACGGACAAACACGTAGGCGTGGAGTTGATTCACAACAACAAAAAAGAAAGCAGAAGTGATGGTTAACTTCACTTCACATTTTGATTTGAAGGTTCACTTCACATGTTATGGCCCGCGACAAATATCCCACGTGTAGCCTTAAACAAACTCTTAGTGGGCAAGTGCTGTTAGCAAGCAGACACATATGCATAGACAAACACATACAGATACACACAGATAACAACAACCGCCATTCGCCACTAAGTGGTGGTGACGTCACCATGAGGCTTGTGCCAGGCTATGTGCACCTTGAGGCCACGTGAAGTGTCGAACGCCCGCTGGCAGGTCACGGTGCAGACCCAGGTGCCACGGGTCGACTGAATGAGATGAATGGCTGATGCACCACCTGTGCCCCCTACTGTGCCAATCTGCTGTGCTTTAGCCACCCGGCGCTCCGCTCGTTGTGAGCGTCGCTCCTCCGCCCGCCGCTTTTGCTACTGGAGGGCGACTGCCTCCAACTTCCCAGTAGCTTCCTCAACGTGCACCTAGCCTGGCACTGCCCAGTGGCATTCTTCACGAGCCTCCTCCACAGAGGGCGCACTTAACACGGCTGGTACCAGTCATCCAGGACGGGTGACTATAAACAATCTATGAACTTTGATTTAAAGCTTTCGTGACTGCAGTAATTCATATTCTTAGTTTTTTCGGTAAAGTCACGTTGAAGGGAAACAACAAAATAATAAAATATATACAACAATAAAACATTCTCACGACGTTTCGACCATAACTCACGAAACGTCGTGAGATTTTTTTTGTTTTATATATATTTTATTATTTTGTTGTTTCCCTTCAACGTGACTTTACCGAAAAAACTAAGAATATAATCTATGAACTATTCTTTGTTTCTTTCGGTAAAGTCATTTAGATAGAAAAATAATCTAACCTATAAAAGGCATTTTTTGTCTGTCCGTCTGTCCGTGTACGCTCGCTTGCGAGGGATTTGCCTCTCGGACCGTGGGGTTCGCATAGAAAATGTGTTGCCGGGTGGCACGCCCCGAGCCCCGCGGTGGGAATAGGATATTTTGTTTTCCCATCTGTTGTATATGTGGGTGTGTGAAAATTGATGAAAATAAAAATAAATAATGAAATTTGGATAATTTATCCGAAATTATGTTAGTTGGTGTAATCATGTGCATAAATTATGCTAATTCGAGAGATAATCGTATTAATGTATGCGAGCGGGTGTGGTATGATAATGCAGGTCGTTATGATCATTTAGGGTCCAGCCTCGGTGACGAGGGTTGGTTATTAATTTGAATAACGCAATTGATCGTATGCAGTGACGCAGGCGTTGTGAGCGTGAATGAGAGTCAACACGACATCGTTGTTTAACTCCGTATTATCAATGAGGATACGATTATCTTCGATTTAACGTTTATTTATTATTTATGGATTAGTGTGCTTATGATAGGTCCCCAGGGTTCAGATCTCAATCGCAGATCAATTCTATGCAGAATCACGGAAAGAATCACACACAACTCTTCTGCTTTAATCAATTTTATTTTCTAGCTAAACTTAAATTTTTGGATAATATGAGAACTCTCAAACTCGGAATTTCAACACAGCATTAACATGGTACACATCACGATTGCGTTGTTTCACTTCGATAACGGCACCTGTGGTTAATTCCCGACGCGTAACGCAATTGATCGGTTGTTGAGAGAGAGATTAAACATGCATAACTATTCTATCAAACCTTAACTCTATTATATGCAAATTCGTATACTTGAATTGTTACACGACACGGCATTCGATCATTGATCATATGCGACCCTTAATGCAATTTCTTGTCACGTTGTTAACAGTAGGACGATTGATTATTATGCAACGCTATTCATTGAAAAGGCACTCAACCAATATTATTCCTAAAGGCACCAATATGCGTTCAGAGATTCGTCTGGTTCATTCATGGATACCAGCAAGATTATGCAATAAAAAAACGAACGACGCAAATACTCCCAAGTGATCGTATCCACGCAATGTTTTCCTTTGAGATTCTTATCTTGGACCATTCTTTTAATTAGTTGTGTCCGGATCCCTGACAGGGAAACCGGTTGAACACGCAATTCACCCCCACCTCCGTGAGCGGCGCTCCGTTGAAGGTGCCAAGAATTAATCCGTATTGATGGATTAGTTGGTAACTTATGCGATTAGAAGTACAGTCCCAACAAAATTTTTACGAGGAAGTTATGAACACTCTTATAAACCTAGATTTTATTGTTTTATTTTATTATTTTATTCTCATTCTACGTGACTTTACCGAAAGAACCAAAGAAGATGAACACTTATAAACGACGGATTGTTCACTCGGTCGTTGATTCGTATCCAATCCTTAAGACATTCTGATATGCGAAATTATTATGCTTGAAATCGTCAGCACAGTACCACGGGCGATGTTCATTCATTGATTCGTAAACAAGATTATGCCATTAAAGACGACCGACTAAAATACTCCTAAGTGACCGTATTCACGATTCTCGATGGTAATGTTTCCGTTATCAGCTAATATTTGACGCACTTATCATGAATCTTCTTGTATGTGTTAATGTGCGAGGGTTGTTGATTTCCTTGCGTTAAGCAAACGCCTCGGTTGCTTTGCTTGCCAAAAATATGTTTGTTCACTGCGGAGCGGTGGGGGGTGTGAGGGGAGAGTGTGGGGGGAGGGGCATACGAACGGCTCCCACAGTTTCGGCCCACTGCTGGCTGGAAGAGTCGGCGCGTCGCTCGCCGTTGGCGCCCGATGATGATGATGGGTGTTGAGTGCGGGCCCGCGGCCTTCTCCTGGTGCTGCCCGAACGCTCTCAGCGCTGGCGACGCGAAGTGGCGAGCTGTAGCGCGCGCTGCCTCTCCTTGAAGATGCTCTGGTTCGCTGACAGCAGTTTCTTGCACTGCTGTATGACTCAAGTCACACGCGCTTGGTCGCTGGCTTGCTGAAGTTGTTGGCGGCTGGCCAAGCTTTTTCCACCACTGTAGTAGCTGCGCGCTATTGCTTGGCGGCTGGCCAAGCTTTTCCTCTGCTGAATGAGTCGAGTCGGCACACGCTTGGCCGCTTGTTGCAGAAACTCTTGCTTGGTGCGTCGGTCGCGCTACAGCTGGACTCGACGTAGAAATAAGGGTCTTTAAGCGATACTTTGCCTTTCAGCTCTAAAGTCACTTTCGTTGATACATCCCGACTCAGCGATCCTCGCTACTAAGCGAGGCTAGCGCTCCTTCAAGCCAGCCG